CTGTGATGTGCAAATAGATGCTTCTGCAGAGACTAGCATGTTCAGGATGAAGAATGTTTGTTTGAGTACCCTGTACTGTAAAACACTCACTCCAGTGTTGTGCTCAACAAATCCCAGGTTTCTTTTGCTATGAAGCAAGCAGACTGGGTAAACCTGTGTTTGGCTGTCAAATGGGTGTTTGTTACAGAAGCCATGAGCCATAGTCTCTCAATCAGTAACCATGGTTCCTATAAACTCAACCGGCCATTTGACTTGTACCACATCTAACTCAGACAATATGTGTTAAGCTCAGGCGCTGTGTGCGACTAATTCTTACAACACACTCTGCATGGTACGACTGTTTTGCGGCATGTGATTCACAGTGTTTTGTTCAGGGATGAGAGTTGCAACATTTCATAATTTGTCGAACGAGATCACATCGAGCGTGTGATGAAACTGCAGCGCTGTGTTGAATATATAGTATATAGTGTAACGCCACCAATCTCAGCCCTATACTATCATGGTAATTTGCTGCCTATTTGCTTTGCTATATATTTAGCTGTTGATGTATGTTCCTTGGTGCTCGCATGAGTGTAGATGGCAACATAATCCCAAATAAATAAATAAATGCCGGTTGTTTAAGAAGAACCTCTAATCGTGATCTGGGATCTCTGCCAGTTCCCATTGTCATCGTTCGCATTGGCAATCTCAATTGGTTTGAGCTGATTAAACTCCGGCGATACTCTAATGAGTGTTGTGCGTTCCCCAAGCCTTGGCTCTTGCCAACCTGCGTCTTACGTCTCTGGGAAACGAACGAGGCGAGCTTATTGCGCCTTAAAAGGACAGGACAAATGGAAATCTCTACACACAGAGTGCGTAGACGTGATGTCAGTGGCGATCTGATCACCGGGACATCAGCCATTTTAGCTTCTGCCGCTAAACTGTGGTTTTAATATTGAATTGGGGAGGGGGAGGGTTGAGAAGGGGTAAAATGGAGACGGTTGGGGGGTGGGGGGAGGGAATTGAAGTGCAGAAGATATGACCAGAGTGCAAACGACGGTGTAATTTTTCACAAATTTATTTCAACCATAAAATAAGACGTACAATAATAATATAAAAAAAACAAAAATCTGTCCAAATGGTGACCTGTGCGGTACAGTAGGAAGACATTGATACAAAAGAAAATAAAGGCAGCAAATAAGAAAGGTAACAGATACGACAATGAGGAACACTGTCCAAAAAAAATCAAGAAGAGAAAAATAATTTTAACCTAGAATGTGTCCGGCCGCAAATGTTTTTTTTTTCTCTCTCTCTCTCTCTCCAGGGAGAGCTAAAGAGTCCGTAAGACGACGACAAAAGAAAAATCTCACTGGCTGAAAAGGTGACCACTTAGGCAGCAATGAATAATTTAACTGGTCGAGAGCAGCTATATTTTAATGATTGATACAGTACTTCACAATTTTGCTATCCCAACATCGCCTTGCAAGAAAGGCTTCGAAAAAATTAAAATATCCTCCTCCTTTTGAGTAGAAATATATTCCGTACAAAGAGTGCATGAGCTAGCTTGTCAGGTCTCGACAAAATTGCAACATTCCAAACTTTCTTTTTTTTGTGTTGTTTTTTTTCTAAAAAAAAGTTTTTTGGTTTTGATTTTTTTCCCCCCACCGCCTCCCTCCCCTCCTCCCCCCCACCCCCACCCCACCCCACTCCGGTCTTCTTAATTTATAACGTAAAAAAAAATGCCATTAAGATATTCTATGAATTTAACGTCATGCTTAAATAATAAATAATAAGTTCATAGTTGCGTCGAAAAAAAAAAAAAAAAAACCCTATTAAGCTGAACAATGTTAAAAATCAAGTGTCCTGCACTAGGTTGCAGCATCTAGGTTCTATCCGTTTGATTAGATACTGAATTTAATATTTTTTTTGCCAGTTTTAATCCTCCCCGCAGCATCTTCTTACATTTTTGAATCTCTGTACATTTGGCTTTTAAATATGAAAATAGTTGTTAAACTTTTATAAACTGTACAATTTTTTTTCCCGTTAAAAACTATATTGCAAGAGCTTTTTTCTTCTTTAAAATGTCACTTCTGATAAATACGTAGCAGGGTACAATTGAGACTCGATTTGTGTTCAAGAAGGGGTTTTCCTGTGTTTCTCTCCTTCTACCCCACGAGCCAGCCTTCCACCCCACCCCACCCACCCCGCGCCCCCCATCCCCCCCAAAAAAATGTGCTTAAAGTCTCTTCGGTGAAATGGCAGCATTTTGGCTGAATCCAAACTGGCGGAAAAACTCCACTTCCTTATTTTCACACTCTCTCTCTCTCTCTCTCTCTATCCCATTGCTTTACTTGCTGGTTCGAATACTCTTTGGATGACAATTCCCTTCTGGGGATCTGACTGATACAGTTTTAGCAGCGTGTGCAGCAGCTTTCAGCAAATCATTTCACTTCATCCACAACCTGCAAGTTTTTGTTTGCATTGAAAACGAACGTTTGTAGGCGAGCGAGTTGCCTGGGATCGCCCTCGGATCTTCGGGCTTCAGAGACGGGTCTCACAAATTGCTCAACTTCTCTCCCGCACCCCCTCCTCCCTTCACCTCCCTCCTCCCCACCCACCCCCACCACCCAACCCAACGCTGAACCTACCCCTCGAACAGTTGCTAAATTTCTTAAGTTTCCTCCCGGCTCCCTAACCACTTATGGTAATCGCAGCGATCGACGGTCTCCCCTTTTATGTGCAGTCGCCCTGCCTAAGTGGCAGCCGCGCTCCCTAAACAGGTGATTGCAGTCCGCGGGGAGGCTGTTTGCCAACAAAGCTATACTTAGACATTGCAGAGGACCACTTGCAATGGAACTTATGCTGAGCCCACGTGGGTCTGCCTTCAGAATGTCAATAACCCTTTCCAGAACACAGCCCTCCTGTCAACTCAAACAAAAAAGAACCCACAAGCGTGCCCTTCTTCTGATGTTTTTTCTCCCTCTTTTTCTCTCTCTCTCTCTCTCTCTTTGCTTTCAAAACTAAAGTACTGGTGTGAAATCACATCTCCTTTCTGCTAACTTCCCAAGGCCTTCCTTCAGTCACAGTTTTTGGCTTCGATCTCCTCCAAAGCCGTCTACTTTTTCTCCGTTCAGTAAAACAAATTGCGCGCTTCCCCGAGCTCGTCTGCGCACAGAGGGCTAGAAATTCCGTTCAGCGTCGCGCACAACGCTTTCAACAAAAATAATAATAATCCTTGCATCTGATACAGCACCTTATCGCATCGTTCTAAAGAGCTTCGCAGGATATACTGTAAAGCGAATTGACTGTGCTTTTTGTGGGCAAAACACATTTTGCCGATCTCAGCATTTTAATGGGGTGCGGTTATCGCCACCCACACCTCCCTTTATAGGCTTGGGTGGGTGCACACTAACTGCTGAACGGGATTTGTAACCCTAAGAGTTAATACCTGAAAGTTCAGTGACCCATCGGACTAGTTAGCGAGCCTTTCTGAAGTTAACGTTCGAATTGGAGATTTAAAAACAGTTGAGATTTTTGATAAGCATCCGAATTTTGCACGGAGGAAGATTGTTTGCTTCTGTTATCTGTGGTGGATTGAGTAAAAGGCCAGGGAACAGGGTGGGGGAGGGAGGGAGTCTGAGACAAGCATGTTGATGCAGCTGTGGCAATCTACATTTTTTTTTAAAAAACTTCTGGTGAGACTTAAACTTGTATCATGACCTGTGTGTCAGCCAATTCAGCTAAACAGGTGTATAGGAAGGAGGAAATTAGACACCCTCTTTCCAAGAGCTGGCAGTGGGGGGGGGATGGAAGGTTAAGTCCATTTGAACTTACTTTCCAGAAAGAATAACATCTTAAGTTTGACCCCTCAAATGGTTCCCACCCGTTCTCTCTCTCTCCCTCCCTCTCTCTCTCGCTCCCCCTCTCTCTCTCTCTCGTTCAGACGAGCCTCTTGAGCTGCTGCCTCGGATGCTTACCCGCTGAGAAGCTCACTTTTGCTCTTTGCTTGGTGGCAGCACATTCCTCCAGCCCGACTAACAACCCCAAGCGTTTTCAGGGTGTTCCATTTGGCCATGGGTTTGGGACTAACATAAAGAAGCATTGCTTCCCTTCACCCAGTGGGCACATTGACAGCTGGAACTGGTAACTGGGAAGAGAGGTTGAGGCCAGAATCTTAGCGTGTAAGAAGCAACTGGAGGATGAAACAGGAAGCCTGTCAGTGTGTGGGTTCTGGAAGGATAAGGTCTATGGGCTACAGGGCCTTTTGTTTTTAAATCCACCCCAACCTTATGTCCCTAACTCCATAACCAGTCAAACTGGTTTTAAAAGGCAATTCACAGGACATAGCCCAAACCTGTCATTTGGACTCAAGTCAAGCAAATCTCATCTTCTCAGCTACATTGCCGGAAGAGAGTAGGTGTACATATGTATCGGGAAATGATGATTGTCATCTACCTGTCCACTGCCTGAGGGACAGTGCCACGTGCTGTAAAGCAGTTGTAAAGCCAATGAACCCAATGTGTGTTCCATCTTTTCAGCTGGCAAATGGCAGAGAAAATGGGCGAACAAAGGGAAGATTTCTTTGAAATAGAGAAACGTTTTGAAAAATTCAAGTATCGGCCACATCTGTGGTTCGGTTTGTCCTTCATTTTTAGAGCGTGATTGTCCCCACCACTAACCCAGTTTTTCTTGCTCGTTCCCATCAGTCCACACTCACTTCCTTCCAGGGTGCTATTTATGGAGCATTTCACAGCATCTGGCAAATTCTTACATCCGACCTTAACTGTGAAACTCCTTTCTAGCGAGTTTCATTTGAAGCAATCAAAGAACTCAGCAATTTGCCAAATTCTGAGTTTTTGCCCCGAAATGTCGGGTAAACAGGGCAAATCTGATGAAAAATTCCCCCCCCCCCCACAATCTTGCACCCAGGCACACTCGCTCCTAACGCATCTAAGTCACACAATTTGGACTTCGGCAAGCGCTAATAATCTTTGCATTTGATAAAGCTCCTTATCACATCGTTGAAAAGTTTCAAAGCGCTTCACAGGATACACTGTAAAGTGAATTGACATTTTGTGGGTTTGATGAGCGTTGCGATTAACTGCGGTATAGAGTTCCGTCTGCACTCACTACCTCAAGACTGGAAACTGAACGTAGTTTCAAGAACTGTAACATTTGGGAGAGGTGGTGGGAGGGAATAGTTTGGAAGGGATTTTATATATAAAAAAAACAAATAGACAATAAACCCAAAAAACTGGAGAGCATAAATATGGATGAGTTTTTCCCCCTATATATATATATATTTTAAAAATCAATGGAAGAAAACCAGTGTAATAAATACTATTAAGAATGCAGGCTCACTTGCTAACGGTAAGACCTTTGTCTAGTAACTGCAGTCCTCAGTGGTCACTGTACTTAAAGTGAACAAAGTGAGTTAAGCCATTCCGTGGGATGCACAGACCAAAACAGCTCCATTGGAGCTGATGAGCTGCAATCGCGAGGCATCTTGTAGAGCACGGACAGTTACCAGATCCATTTGCATCCACCCAGTCTTGCTTGCAAGTTCAAGTTTTGCCAAACGTTTCAGCGTACGTCAATGCATACTGTATTATGTGCCTCCGCAGTCGTGTAAGAAACCATCCATTTAGTGCTTTTGCTCGAAAGATTTAAAAACAATTTCTCGTCATCTTCTGCAATAAGAGGCTATCGACCTGTGTCGCAGTTACTTTGAGCCTAAGTCTCACCTCGAGAGTACCGTCCTTGCTTCACTGTTCCTGTGCCCAGTTCAACGCAATGTGCTTTGTTTCTCTCTCTCTCTTTCTCTCTCTTTTGACCAATACTTTTTGAATTGATTGATTGATTGATTGATTAATTTAAGAAAAGACAACTTTGTTCTTAGATCTCGGACTCCCGCCTGAGCGGCCGGGGCTCCAGAGGCACAGTGGCCTGATTGTGGTCCGTGCTGGGAGGCGCCTCCGCGCTGACGGTCTCCGGTGAGCCGCCCTCGCTCTCCTCTTCGTCTTTGTTCATTAGCGCCACCTCGTTCTCGTAGCAGAAGGAGTTGGCCGTGGACAGGATGTACTTCTTTTCCGCCAAGTCTCGGGCGCAACACAGGGGCGTGTTGGGCACGTCGTAGGTCCGGTGGAAGCGCGAGTAGTCGACCTTGTAGTAGTTCTTCTCCTCAAAGAGCACCGGCTCGAAGCGGTGGCCCCAGAGGATCTCGTTGGCCAGGTACGAACTCCGACACTGTGTCGTCATGGCCGTGGCCTCCACCATCCCTTCCAGAATGACCACGATCTCAAAGTTCGAGTTATCCAGATCCTGTTTGCTCACGTCATAGAAAGGACTGTCTTCGTCGATTTCGTGCACTATAGTGATGGGCGACACGAGAAATATCCTATCTATTCCACTGTCGAAACCTACATTAATGTCTATTTGATCCAAGGGTATGTATTCACCCTCTGAAGTCACTCGAGATTTCAGCAGCTGGGCTCGCACGTGGGCTTCCACCAAGTGGCTCTTGCGCAGGTTCCCAACACGCCACATTAGGCAGAGCTTCCCGTCTCTCATGGCGATCACTGCGTTGTCGCTGAAGATGAGCGTCTCGTTCCTCTTTTTGGGTTTGGCCATCTTCGCCATGACGGCCCCGATGATGAAGGCGTCGATGATGCAGCCCACGATGGACTGGAAAACCACGGTGATGACAGCGACGGGGCACTCTTCGGTCACGCAGCGGAAGCCGTAACCGATGGTCGTCTGCGTCTCGATGGAGAAGAGGAAGGCGGCGGTGAAGCTGTTGACCTTGGACACACACGGCTCGTGGTCTGTCGGGCTCTCGGTCTTTTCCAAGTCGCCGTGCATCAGTGCAATGAGCCAAAACATACAACCAAACAAGAGCCAGGACAAGATGAAGGAGAGGCAGAAGATGACCAGCATCCATCGCCAGCGGATGTCCACGCAGGTGGTGAAGATGTCAGACAGGTACCGCTGCCCCTTCTCACTCATGTTTACAAACTGCACGTTGCAACGCCCGTCCTTCTTCACAAACCGGCTCCGGCACTGCTGCCTCGTGTGGATCTTGCCCTTGCCGTTGCCGTAACCGTTGGCGACCGCCATGGTGGCCAGCTTCATTCCGTCTTCCTCCGAAGACACGATGCTGTAGCGATTGGCACGCACGCTGCCCATTGCCAATGCCTGGGACTGCTGCGTTTCTACTTTGGGATACAGTCTTGAAAGTGTCCGCAGCAACTTTTGAAGAAACAGTTTTGGAACGTGCTGGACGAACAATTGGGAGGGTGGACCTTCGCAGGCAGCCTTGGCTTCACCCAGGGCTCTCCTCGGCAGATCAACACTCAACCATCCAAAGATAAGCGGTCATGTAGAACTCTTAGGTTTGACCTGTCAAGAGGGAGGCAAAATGCAGATTTACTAACAAATACAAAAAAACATAGCGTTTAATCACCGCACTTACAAGATGAAGCTAAACCATCTTCTTAAAATAGGAATTAATCCTCGTATTTTGCTATGGCGCCTTTCACGTCAAGAGCACGGCACAAAAAGCCTCCCAGGATTTACTGTGAAGTGTAGTGACTGTGTTTGTAGGCAAGCGCCTGCAGCCCATTTGGACACAGCAACAACCCACAAACAGCCAGGAAGCGAATGGCCAAACTTATCACTGGGAGAAACCCCCTACTCTTTTTGAATAGTGCCACAAGATCTTTAACATTGCACCTGGAAGAGGCACACACAGGTCACTGATCTCATCCAAAGGACGGCAGCTCAAACCATGCAGCACTTCCCCAGAACTGCTTTGGAATATCAGCCGAGATTATGAGCTCAAAGACGCACTAACCCACCTACCTGACTCCCTTGGTAGTCAAGAGCCCTACCAACTGAGCCAGGCTGACACTTGGCAAATAATACACTCGAGCTTTCGCGTAGGATTATTACCTTGAAGCCCTTTACAGATGTAATGGAGAGCATCAGTAAGGATGCTGATCAAAAGCACTAGTTGCTGATTCTTTTCTTTTGAAATTGAAGGTTTTTCGTAAGTAGGGTGTCAGGAATTGCGGTATCATCGTTGCGATAGGAGTGGGCAACAGGCAGCAAATCGGATCAAGCCAACATATTACGTAGTGACACGTAATTAATTCAATACACTCACAGTCTAATCTATTGACGATTAAGAATGGAAAATTGCAGTTTGTGCTCTGATGCTCGGCGAGAACAACCGATAAGCACTGCATCACGTCAAACCAGGCCAGCAGCCACAGTGGATCAATGGAATCCAAATTAATTTGAAACCAATCCAGAATTCCGCTCGTTTCCGAACCAGGAAAGAGCACACTGCCACAGATTTCCTCTCACTTTGCAGACGGATCCGCAAGAACACCATTAAGAGAGCCACGCGCCACTGATAATACGTCAGATTCTCCAACCAACAGCAACAATTTACGTTTTTATGCCAAATGGGATGCAATTTCAGTGGAAACTGAAAACCAACACAAAACGTCTGCCTGATGGAGAAACTGTCATTATTACAAATCAAATGAATTCAACTAACGTTCCCGGAGAGACACCTGGTTTCTCAATTGCTTGTTGGTTTCACTTTGAATAACCTTGACAAGTGGCTGTCAGTTGGGTTGCGCTCGATCCAAGGTGTATCGTGTGAAGGAGAAAGCGGGAGGGAGTCAGGAAATCCTCCTGTTAGTACTGAGACTAAAAGTTTAGGAATGGATTGAGTCACTTTACCGAAAGCAGCAATGCTTCAGATGACAGGTTGTTAAACAAAAGGTTTAATGTTTACAAGAGCGTAGAAGGCTATTGCGCCATTGCCAAACCACCCGAACCACAACAAAATAGAATACCACTAATGCAAATGATTTGGGGTTTCAGCATGTTTGACCAGATGCATTTCAAAACACCCACTGCCGAGAATTACTGATTGCGCTGTAGATTGTCAGCTGAAACCCTCTTTCTCTCCCTCCCACCCCCGCTCTTATTTAGTTATATTCCTGATCTTTGTTTTGCCCACAAAATATACAGTCAATTCATTCACTTTGCAGTACATTCTGCGAAGCATTTTGGGACGTCTCGAAGACGTGATAAAGCGCTATATCAAATGCAAGGATTATCATTATTTCTCTCGAGCAGCACGGCAAACATGAAGGAAATGTAAGCCCTGAGTTTTATCAATCGGAGTGCATTCAAATGGGTGACATTTTAAACAGCAATAAGTGAACGTTGAGGGATAAGACTTGAAAGGCTGATGCTGCTGGATGTGAAGCACCGAAGGGGCAGGATTGGGTTTGTACATTTGGAAATTTCACACGCTAATAGGATACCAGAGCGACCGAACTGTGCATCAGTTGTGTCTTTGACACAGAGCGCGGTTATGTGTTAGGGATCAGGATGACGGACATTAAGAGTCTATTACAAGAAAACACAACATTGAAGGGTTCGGGTTTCACTGTAAACAAAATCGCAACCTGCTTGTTGTTGCCTCCGGCATCACCCTTTTTTTTAAAAAAAAAGAAGTGTTGAAGGCAGGAAGAAAGAGTATGAGAAAGAATGAAAGCGATGGAACGGGAAGTAAGACAACAAGAGAAGACTTGTGGAGTCCTGTAGCTCAGTGGTTAGAGCACTCGCTTTGCAAGCGAGAGACCTGAGTTCAATTCCAGGCAGAGGGCGAAACCTTGGGCAAGTTTCCTTACTCCACACAGAGCCTAATAATAATCCCTCCAAAACAAAAAACAATAATAAAAAAAATTGGTCATTTTCAATCTACGACTGTTTGTGGGACATTGCTGTGCGCAATTGGCTGCCGCGTTCGCCCACAAATATACAGTCAATTCACTTTACAGTGTGTTCTGTGAAGCGCTTTGGGACGTCCTCCCGACGTGAAAAGCGCTATATCAAATGCAAGGATTATTAAGACACTTTACATTTGCACAGCGTCTTTCACAGAGGGAGGGCATTTCAAAGTGCTGAGCTGGGCAGTGAGAGCTAGTGTTCTTAAAGGATGATCCTATTCAATCTAAAGCAATCAGATGTAAAGTTATTGGGCTTTTTTTTTGTAAGTAGGAGATTGTCATTTCATCTTTTTCTTGGTAACAAGTAATCCATGACTGCTTGTGGGACACTGCTGTGCGCAATTGGCTGCCCACAATATACAGTCACAGTATATGCTGTGAAGCCCTCTGAGACATCTCAACTACGTGATAAGGCACTGTATCAAATGCAAGGATTAATATTATAACTTACCAGTCTTTTCCAGGAAAGCACTAGACCAGGAACATACATTTAACCTTTGTACATCTCTTTCTCCCTGCCTTCCCTCCCCCCACCCACCCCACCCACTGAGTTGACATTAATGTTCTGGTGTCCATCACTTTGTGAGCTCAGATAGATTGAGGCCTGGAGGGCTGCAAGTGATAGACCTCAAGGATTAAGCTGAACTGTAAACCAATTGCATGGAGCTTGCAGATTTTTTTTGCTACAGTGACATGCTCTCTGCATATCAATCCGACAATTAAAATGTTCTAACACCTTGCCGTGCCTATTGGGGAATGGTAAGGCCTACAGCTGAACCTAACAGCACACCTCAACAAAATAGGCAAGTGGAACAAAACAGCGGAGCGGGAGGACACAGGTTTAGATTTGCAAAGGCCAACTTCAGGAAAGAGTTAAAAACTCCACTTGTGTTAAATAAAGCACACGCTGGCTGGCGTGGCTTCAGCCGGAGCCACAGAATCACTGGATAAATGCATTGAAGGGGAAGCTTTGTAGATTTGTCCCGGGCAAAAACAAATAAAGTCTCCCACCATCTCTGCATAACTGCACTCGATCCACGACTGTTTGCGGGACGCTGCAGTGCGCAATTGGCTGCCACGTTTCGCCCACAAAATACAGCCAATTTGCTTTACAGTATATTCTGTGAAGCACTTTGAGACGTCTCAACGACGTGATAAGGCGCTATCAAATGCAAGGATTGTTATTATGTATTTGAGCCACTCTTAACATCACAGGTGAGGCTCTATATAAATGCAAGTTGTTGTTGTTGGGACAGCTGTCACCCTGACAGATGTATTTAAATGCCAGAGATGGTATCCTGCACGTGTTGGGGACTATGTACACACATTGCCAACAGTTTCACTATGGCCATGTGCTCTGTTTATCTCTGCTGCAATCTTCACAGCAGCAAATTGCTTAAGAGCCTCAGGTGTATTTTCTTTTACCAAAGCACGAAGCTGCAAGCTTCCGGACGCTTTGTGCAGCTTTTATTTTATATTGAAAAAACACAGTATATCAAATCCACCCAATCAGACCCCCTCCTTCCTTACCTGCCACCGCCCCTTCTCCCGCACCACCCGCCCTCCCACCCCTTACATACACACACACACACCTTCTGCATACATGGCTTTCCGAATTGTTAAACGGGGATAATAATAATCCTCGCATTTGATTTAGCGCCTTATCACGTTGTTGGAACGTCTCAAAGCCCTTCACAGGATACACTGTAAAGTGGATTGACTGTGTATTTTGTGGTCAAAACACAGCAGACAATTGCGCACAGCAGCATCTGACAGTCATGGATTGAGTGATAAAATTTACTTTCGAGGGGCTTTCTAACCCCAGAAAACAATTAGCAGACACTGCAAGACATATTTGATGTTTATAACAGCACTTCACGCTTTCTCTCTCACCCCCCCCTCACCCCCACCCCAAACCACCAGCTGCCATGCACTTGTTGCAACCTAATCACTTGCAGTTGTACAGTTCTTTTCCCCTTTAATGCACAAACTTTCTCATTCCAACTCACTGTACATTTCCTGAAGACTTTTTTTTCGGGGGGGGGGGGGGGGAAGCACCGTGAAACAATTCTTTTAGTGTAAGCGGACCTTTTTTAAAAAAAATCTGTTTGTTTCACAACTTTCGCTTTCAAATATTTTTTTAAAAAACTTTTTTTTCAAAAGAATAGAATTCCTCTCCCCTTCCAACACCCCCCCCCCCCATCAAAAGAAAAGTAGTCAAGAGGCCAGTGCCTCTGTTCCTCTCTTCCCACACCCCCAACTTGGAATAGACACATAAATTCAAATGCAAGGATTATTAATGAATACAGCGGCCCCACATTTTGGGTTCAAGCTGTTACATGTGGCTAAATTATGAGTCTATATTGATGTAATATCTCTTTTGTCTGTCTCTCAGCCTCAGGTGAGGTGTCTAAGCAGTGACTCTCTCTCACACACATCACACACACACTCATAGACTTGTACACAAATCTCTCTCCTCGTCCTGTGTGTGAGTGTGTGAAAAAAAAACCACGTCATTCAAAAGCAAATTGACATTACTAACAATCAAAATATTTCAGCCCCAGGAAACCCTGTCCCCTCCCTCCCATTGTCAATCAGTCAAGCAATTGTACAGAGATTTTTCTCTCTCTCTCTCTCTCTCTCTGTGTGTGTGTGTGTGTGTCTGTCTCTCTCACTCACCCCAACCATCCATCCATCCATCCACCCAACCATCCACCCACCCAACCCCACAAACGCCCTGAAAATGCTCCCAACTTCCTAGTTCAGCTGCCAGAGTATTTGCAAAGAGATAGGAAAGGGAGGGAGGGAGGGAGAGAGAGAGGGAGGGAGGAGAGAGGGAGGGAGAGAAAGAAGAGGAGAGGAAGAGAGAGAGAGGAGAGCAACTTGTGGTGAGAAAGAAGGGGAGAAAGAGGTGGGGGGGGGAGAAGCAAATAAAAAAGGACCCCTTGTTTGACACTTGTAGCTGAACCCAGACTGGAGGGGGCAGTGGATTAGAGATAGCACTGTAGGCACTGAGTTCCCCAACCAATACACACATGCAATCTGCGGGTGGAAGACACACACATACACATATTACACACAGTGCATATGTTTGAATATTGCCCCCGTTGTCCTTTTTCTTTTTTTGCAGCACTCCTCGAATCGGATTGTGTTCTCACAGACCAGGAACCTCCTGTACATCTATGTGTTTATTTATCTCTCTGTCCATCTGTCCCAACACACACACACACACACACACACACACACAGAGAGAGAGAGAGGGGTTTGACAGGTACCCACCCACTGACCCGGCGATCACACAAGAACTGAACTCCGGAGCGAAAGATCGTAGCGAACAGACACACACACACACACATCCACACTCATGGGCGCATTCTAACCCCCTCGTTCGCTATGGGTTGGAGGGTGGGAGAGAGAGAAAGCGAAGTAGCCAGTGGCAAAATTCATCCATGCATAATACATACATAATACTTAATAATAATAATAATAATAATAATAATAATATACATGCACACACACACACACACACATATATATATATATATCTATTGTGGGTGGGAAATTATTGAATTAAATTCATTTCCAGCGCCTGTGGGGTTCTCTTTTTTTTTTGCTCAAGAGCTCAGACGAGCCATTCAGCTTTGCATTCAGCTACAACATCTGGGGATCAATTGCCAATAGCATAAAACTGCTTCCAATGAAGACAAGACGCGTTGGGTGGGAGAGAAGGGGGAGAGAGAGAGAGAGAGAGAGAGTGGGGTGGTGGTGGGTGGGGGTGGGTGGGGGTGGGGGTTGGGGGGGTGGGTGGGGGAGAGAAATCTAACACTGTGAACTTGCACACAAATAGATATTAAAAAGGATGATGAAAGAGAAAGAGAGAGAGGGGGGGGGGAGAGAGAGAGAGGGGGTTACTGTGCATGCAAACATCCTGAAATAAACACACACACACACACAGACACAGACACACACACACACAGACACACACACACACACGTTATTATTTGGAAAGAAGACTTATTGCATTTTTTTGTTTACCTGTTGGTCAATGGATTGCAATTTCAAAGAGAAGCTTATAATTTCAAGAGATCCAGAGGTTGGGGTTGTCAGACAAAAATGCAGCAGTTACTTTTTTTTTGGGGGGTGGGGGTGGTTGGGTGGGGGGGGGGTGTGGGTGAGTGAGCAGTAGTAGTAGTTGTTGTTGTTGTTGTTGTTGCTGCTGTTTGTGGTGGTGGTGGTGGTGATGGTGATGGTTCTGCTCTTATATACAATCCTGGTCTGGAGAGTGTCTGTGCCTCATCTGATAGACCAGGGGTTTGGACTCAGATATAAACCCTGGGCCGCCTTGTTGCATTGGCCCTGCCCCCCACCCACCTCCCAGCCTATGGGAGAGCCCCCACACCAATGATTGACAGCTACTCCCTCCAATCAACTGAGACCCCCTCCCCTTTTTTTCTGTGTTCCACTCACTCACTCACTCACTCCCTCTCTCTCTCTCTTTATGTGTTCTCTCTCTCTCTCTCTCTCTCCACTCCACTCCACTCACTCACACTCAATTCCAGCTGTTCAGAACTTGTCAATTGCACTTGCAAACCAGGACTGTTTCTCTGGCTGTGCTTCGTTGAAAAAAAAACCCATAGGAGGTTAAATCTTTCTCTCTTTCTCTCTTTCTTTCTTTCTCTCTCTCTTACTCTTTCTCTTACTCTTACTCTTTCTCTTTCTCTCTTTCTCTCTCTCTCGTTCTCTCTCTCTCTCTTAAATGGTTTCAATAAAGCAAAAGCAGAGAGATGGGATTTTCTTTCAAAAAAAAGAATTAATCTGCAATTGCTTCCCTCCCCCCCCCTTTTTTTTTCTCTTTGGAAGAAGGATTTTTTTTTTTTTGCTTTGCTTTGTTTGTTTTACGTTTGATTTCTCTCTCTCTCTCTCTCTCTTGGCAAATGAATGGGGTTTAAGAAATGCACCACCGAGACCTGCATCCAGTTAGTTGGTTTTGCACCCAGTCTTAAACGATTCCCTCTGCTGGTGACCAACATTTATTGATCAGATGCAAAAGGATTATTGCAGGATAACGTGTTAAAATTCCAGTGCGTCTCTCTGAGTGTGTGTGTGTGTGTGTTATTCCCTCTCCTGCAACTTCTGTTCAACCTGCTTCGATTGCTCCTGTTATTCTGCAAAACATTTCCCAACGTGTGGATGGCCAGACCTGCTGTAAATATGATGTCTTTTTTTTATTTGACCTCCACCCCCCCCCCCCCCCACCCCTTTTTTTTTTGGGTTGTAAACTGTACTTTTATTTCGAGGAACTTTAGGATAAGGAGCCAAACGTTGCAGTCACTGTGTTTTTTTTTGTGTGAAACCTCTGGAGTTTTGGCCATCGCTTCCAGCTGTTATAATGTGTGTTTGTGTGTGTATCAGTGTGTGCTTCTTCCTTCTTCATTCCATTATCTCTCTCTCTCTCTCTCTCTCTCTGAGCGAAAAAAATACTTTGTTTTCCCCAAAAAAAATCACTCCAAGGTCCACTTTGCTTTTGACAGCTCACGCGATATATATATACACATATCAAGAAAAACCTGAGTGTGGGAATGAATGCTTCAGTAGAAAGTTTCTCTGTAAGTACAGTAACTCAGTGCCCATTCAACCAGTGAATAAGTAAAAAAAAATTCCCCAACGCAAAGTGAGTGCATTAAACATTATTATTGGGAAACAATAAAAAAAAATACAGATCAGAATAAGACTGCACAGTCAGATGTTTGTGTCAGGGGCTATTTTTTTTTGCAATGTGCAAAGGGAAGAAAATAATGCAGTTTATTTGGTCTCAGTTAATACAGATCAAGGACACAAAAAGAAAGCAGAGCCTGTTTGATTCGTGCCATAAATATCTGAACCCCACCGTGGTAGTAATTCGCGGCAGTAACAGATTAGCAACACTTCATTTACAGTGTAAACCTCCCCAGGTCTGTGAATTGCTGACAAACATTTGATAGATACTGATTGACATCTGTCTGTCTGTCTGTGAACAGATACAGTTCTGCAAACAGTGTTTTCCCATTAGCTTTCTACACCCCCCCCCCCCCCCACACACATACACACACACACACTCACACTCACTCACACACACACCCACACACACTCACACTCACTCACACTCACTCACACCCACACACACTCACACTCACACAAGGGAGATAATTCACCTGATAACATTTTTTTTTCGTGTAAGCATCTCATTGCTGCCATCATACATCATTACAGTGTGGATCAGAGTTTTTATTACTGCAGTGAGTCGGTCTGGTCTGGTCTGGTCTGTACACCACCAGTTGTTTGTTTGTTTCATTTTAAGAGCAATTGCAAAGCTCAAAGGGTTTAGGGTGAAATATGATTTGAAATTGTTTTTTTTTTAACTTGAAAACAAAATCCCTGACAGATAAAATAATGTTCGAGTTGGACTTGGCTGTTTCAGTCTGTTGCAGTGTATTTCTGTGTGTGTGTGTGTGTGTGTGAGAGAGAGAGAGTGAGTGTGTGTGTGAGAGAGTGAGTGTGTGTGTGAGAGTAAGTGTATGTGAGAGAGTGAGTGTGTGTGTGTGTGTTTGAGAGTGTGTGTGTGAGAGTGAGTGTGTGTGTGTGTGTTTGAGAGTGTGTGTGTGAGAGAGTGTGTGTGTGAGAGTGTGTGTGTGTGTGTGTGAGAGTGAATGTGTGTGAGTGTGTGTGTGTGTGTGTGTGAGAGTGAATGTGTGTGAGTGTGTGTGTGAGAGTGAATGTGTGTGTGTGTGAGAGTGAATGTGTGTGAGTGTGTGTGTGTGTGAGAGTGAATGTGTGTGAGTGTGTGTGTGTGTAAGCGACTGGAACTGAATCCCACAACAAGGCAAATCGAGTTGCTGACGAGATCCTCAGGAAACCGGTTTGCAATCGCCTTTGGTACCTGTTGGGGCGTCAAAATCTCATAAAGAGATGGAAGCAACATTAGGTTTATTTATTTTGCTTCATATACACATATATGTACAATATATGTGGAAGTTGCATTGCAGAGATTTTGACGTGTGGTGTTCCCTCTCAAGACCGCAAGAGGTCTACATATATATATGTACCTGTGTATGTATGTATGTATGTATGTATGTATGTGTGTGTGTGTATGTATGTATGTATGTATGTGTGTGTGTGTGTGTGTGTGTGTATAAAGTGATTTAGAATAGTTTTCAGAGTTCAACAAATAAACCATAAATGCACACAGATGATTGCATGTGTTACAGCTCAGAGGAACTTCCAGCAAACCTAAAGAGACCAAATGACAGTTACATTAAAGTCCCATCTTCTACCCTTGGAACATTTTGTTCCATTGCATTACACACACACACTACACACCACACTACACACTGAGAAACGAAACAAACACCATCATTCATACAAGCAGACAGGTGGGTACCAGCATGTAAATCTAAAAAAAAAAAAAATTTCCATTGGAGAAAAAAAACCTCAAAAATGTCTTTTTAATGGCAGCATGAATTTGCAAAAAAAAAAATTTTTTTTTTAAATTGAAATGACTCTCCATGAGGGTTTTAGTGTGCTTTTTTTTCTCTTTCTTTTGATGTTACAGTAGTGGCTTTTGATGTGGAATTTTGCAGTAAACAAGTTGTTGGTGACCAGCCAACAAATAGTCTTGAGTGTCTCAAGAACACATGGTGGCGCAAGAGGAAACTGGAAGCTGAACACACACACACACACACATATTCACACACTGGTTTGTGAAAGCATTGACATCTTGTGTGAGGTCACTTTAGCACGTCAATCATTTTTTTCCTTCTTTTGCTCCACTTCCGAGAAGCAACCTTCTTTAGAAAACCGTGGTACGCTACTGGGTTCTCAAGTTACCTTCATACTCAGCACTTTTGTTTTTCAGCTCGAAAACAAAAGAAATCGAACTAAGAACTTGTATCCATTCTAGTTTATAATTTAATAAGAACGTAAGGATTGCTGGATGAAAGAAGACCAAGGTTACCAGCCGGTGCACATTTCGACCATCTTGGCAGTCAACAACAATCAACAACAACAACTTGGATTTACATAGCGCCCTCCATGCCGGATTACTTTAATTACTTTAATTACTTTAATAAGCAACTGTTTTTGTTTGGGGTTTTCAAAATGAAAAAGAAATGGATGGATACCTCTAGTATATGAACCCTCCCCCAAAGTATGTAAGAGAACTCTCAACATATGATGAATTTTGCAATGTATTTCTCATGTATATGATCACCACTGTTGGTCGCTGGTCAGTGATTGTTAATACGACCACGAAGCAGTCATGATCCGGCAATAATAATAATCCTCGCATTTGATACTGCCCCTCATCAGGTCTTCGAGACGTCTCAAAGCGCTTCACAGAATGTAATGCAAAGTGAATTGACTGTGTATTTTCTGCAACTTGCTAACCTATTCAGTCACTTACACTTCACAGCAAAACCCCTCTCTCAGGCAACTCGACCTCGTGCTGAGGCGCTGTGTCAAATGCAAGGATTCTTATTATTATCATTGTTTCTTTAGCGTGGGTTTTATTGCACATCGGTGACACAGGGCAGGCTACTTGTTCTGCGGTTGATATCGCTCAACAGCCATTGCGGCAAAACCGAAGCCCCGAAGGCAATAGATTCACCCTATGAACTCCAAAGCGTACTTTACTGGCAGCCATCTCCGCTGGTAGTTGAGATGATGGTTTATTAACCACTGAAGGTTTGCTCTTGTAGTTTCTGATGTCCCCTGAACTGGTCAACACGAGCACTGCCTTATAATCACTCCCAGGCATCCGTTACTCTCCACATGCTACATTAAGATATTATCGTGGCTTAACGGGTTGAACGGGCTTAAACACCAAAGCTTCAATGAAACTCTGCTTCACAATGAAGAGATAGGTTTTAGAGAGCTAAAGGAAATTTGGTTATTAAGACAAATGGTATCAATAAGTCAATAGGACATGAATGACTTACTGTAAACCGTGAAGCCCAAACAATGGACTGACAAGTCCTGAACCGTTTCCTGACAAGGTATTCTCACCAGCGTTTCCACTGATGACTGACAAACCTTTTCCCAGACAAGACAAGTATATTAACGTCTAATCAGCCACCTGCACAGGAACCTCTCCAGTCAATGAAATTGTTTATCATTGGCCACTCACGGAACTTTAAGGAAAAAAACTTCAAGCTGTGTTTCACCCAGGAAGAGATGCTCGTAAAATCATTCCAGCAAATAACAATTAATAATAATCCTTGCATTTGATATAACGCCGAGAGCAACTTGCATTTCAAAGTGCTTCACAGAGCTGGTTGTTTGCAGGACGTCACTCTGCGCAAATCGGCCTCCGCGTTCACCTACAAAATACGCAGCCACTACACTTTACAGTCAATCCTGTGAAGCACTTTATTCTTCTTGTTATTTTTGTTACAGTGAAGCTCCTAACAATTTCGTCATTCACCCTCCTAACCCCCATCCTCCCTGCCCTCCACCACTCCTGATCCCAACCCCCCAGCTCAGATACACATCCCTGACTGTCCAGCGCTCTGGGACGTCCTCCCCACGTGAAAGGTGCTATGCAGATGTAAGTTGATGTTGTTGTTGTTGTTGCTCGAGATCATCCCCTGACTGAAGGCTCCATTCACAGGGTCTGAAGACCATTGATCAAATCAGGTGTTACCAACTTTGTGGGGGAAAACGATCATTTTAGAAAACATTTCTTTTGCGTGTGCATGTGTGTGTGTGTGTGTGTTGGGGGAAGCAAGTTGCTTGAACCCTGACTGGTGTCCGTTGCAGTAGTCTGGATGAAACCAGACTGGGTCCTAAGCCGGAACAGGATTGTTTGAAGAGATCAGTCAGTCAGCATAAGGGACTAGCTGTACCAATTGTGCTGGCGTGCTGTCAAAACTAATTCCATATTCCAATGGATTTATAGTGTGTCCCAAACCGGTCACCTGGGGCTTGATTCAGAAATCTCTTTATAATATCTCAGGCATGTGACGTCCAGACGTATAGATTAAGCCCAGAGTTTGTTGGTCTGTTTCCAAGGAACTCATGTGTTACACTTAAGAGCTAATGTAGTGATTTTTGAAATACTTTTGTTACTATTTATGTTTTTTTGGCTCTCTTACTTCACGGGCCACGGCCAAAAAAAATAAGGAGTTGCAAATATTCCTCTCTTCGTTTTATGAACCGTATTCAAGTTACAAACCCAACCCTAGCCGGCCTGACAGGACACATGGAATCTTCCCAGAGATCTGAATGAATAGGCTGTCCAATTTTGAACTTAACTTCTTAAGCTCAGACTCGACTCGCTCATGGACCAACCAGACAACCTGCTCATCCCTGCATACGTCCTGAACAATGGCCCCCAAATGCTTGCTCCCATTTTCCTCTCCCCTCCCCTCCCCTTCCACTCAGCAAACACAGGGCTGGCTTGTCATTCCTCCACACCACCCTCCCACCCTACTCCCCTTGCGCATCTCTCCCCACCCCAACATCGGCAACAGAGCCTTCAGCTGCAAGCTCCCTCACGCCCACCCCCCCCCCCCCCCCCCCCCCCCGCCGCCCCGTTTGCTGCTGTTTCACTCAAATATCTCAAAGAAGTCTCGGAGAACTTGGCACACTGAAATGGTTGCGAGTGCTGTTTTACTGCAAAAATAAATACATTAGAATCTTGGGTTTTATTGAGAAATCTCTATTATAGCAGGTTACCTCAAAAAAGCAGCACTCGCCTGCAAGGAGGTGCTTATCATAATATATCTCTATTATATATGCATATTATTATTATTATTATTATATCTATATATATGTATATGAACCTCTATGCAGATCATGCACTAGTTCACAGTAACTGACTAATCCAGCAACAATCCAGTCTGAAACAGAACAGAGCTGCTTGACACTGCACCACAAGTCTATTAATATTCTCTGTCGTGTAATATTTGCAAGTAGCGTACTTGGAAGTAGTTTGACGTGTGGTATAGAATATCACTAAACCTGTTCCTTAACACATTCTATCTCACTTTCTCTCTTGGACTCTCTCTCCCTCCACCTCTTTCACACCCACACACGCACGCGCACAGTGAGTATTTGGGCATTTCTTGGCCAGGCAATACACAAAGTGCCATATCGCAGTTGAGGGATGCATTTGTTTGAAGAGCAATGAGCCCTCTTAGCTGGGAGTGTAATGTTCTGTTGGGAGGAGGGTGGGGGAGAAGAGTGGGAGGCTGATGGCTGAGGACAGTTCGGGGTGTGGGAGGGAGGGAGAGAAGTCTGCAACCCAGAGTTCCTTCATTTCCAAACCGGAGGATGATTTGTCGCAATGCGCCACCGTGCGTGATGCTGAAATACCACGATTTCCCCTCCACCCACTCCCTCCCCGGCCCAGAGAGGTGTGGGTTTTGCTTTATCCATTACTTCCAGATTGTGTGCAAACCAAAGTCGCACCCAAGAGGTTAAAGGTTTCAAGCGGAGTTTTCAATCTGAATTTACTCCCTCTCTTCCCCGTTGTTCATACGAAAACTTGATGGGGAAAAAAAATACTACCAATGATAATTTGGTCACTCAATCCAAGACTGTTCTGTGGGATTCTGCTGAGCCCAATTGGTCAGTCAACTCACTTTACAGTATAATGTGTGAAGAACTTTGAGACGTCTCAATGACATGATAAGGGGGAAGTAGGGGATGGGGTCCGGGAGGGCAAGTGGTACTGGAGGTGGAGAGAGAGCCAGGGTTCAAGTGACACAGTTCAGGGATCACAGTTCGGACTCCATGTTGAATATTTTGCTCAGGAACAGAGGCTTCTTGTATTCGAGCTCCTGCTCCCCTTCGGGTTCCCTGCCCTGGCTCGGAGCGGCCAGGCTCTCGTAGTCAGGACTGCAGCTGTCAAGCCCAGCGACACTGAGGACTCCGAGCGGCTCGGAGGCGGTGTAGAGCTCCCTGGCACTACAGGCCGGTGTGCTGACCTCCTGGGTCCTGTGGAACTCGGAGTAGCTGACCTTCAAGTAGTTGTTCTTGTCCTTGAGGATCTCCTTGAAGCGATGTCCCCACAGGATCTCAAGCGGGGTGTAGGAGCTCCGCGACTGGTGGGCGCTTCCCGTAGAGTCCCCCGAGCACAGAAAGGTGATAATCAGCTCAAAGTCATCCTCAGCCAAGAGGCTCTGTCCCAGGTCATACAGCGGGCTGTGCTCATCGATCGCGTGCTCCACGATCACAGGGCTGACCAGGATCACGCTCTCGGTGGTCAAGCGCAGCTGCTGGTGCTCCATGGTCATCTGGTTGTCTCCAGTCTCCTGGAAGCGCAGGAGCTGAGCCGTGATAGTGCCCTCGATCACGTGGCTCTCGCGAAAGTCTCCCAGCCGCCACATGAGGCACAGCTTGCCGTCCCGCATGGCTACCACTGCATTGTTGCTGAAGCCGATGGTCTTCTGGGCCCTCTTCCTGGCCTTGGCCATTTTGGCCACCACAGCCCCGATAATGAAGCTGTTGATCAGGTACTTGGTGACAGACTGGCAAGTCACCATAGTGACGGTGAAGGGGCATTCCTCCGTCACGCAACGCAGTCCGTAGCCAATGGTGGTCTGGGTCTCGATGGCGAAGAGGAAGGCAGCGGTGAAGGTGTGCACCTCGGCGATGCAGGGCGTGTGCTCGGACTCCCCCACCCCCAGGTCCCCGTGGATAGCGCTCATGACCCAGTAGACAAAGCCGAAGAAGAGCCAAGAGAGGATGTAGGACAGGGAGAAGATCACAAAGATGTGGCTCCACTTCAGGTCGATGAGGGTGGTGAAGATGTCAGAAAAGTAACTGCCCCACTCGTTCAGCATGCCCTTGAAATGGATGTTGCAGTTCCCGTCCTTGCGCAGGAACCTCTTGCGGTAGCGACTCCTGTTCACACCCGTGTAGCAGCCGTCCTTGAAGAGCTTCTTCCGCTCCTCCTCGGACGTGATGGTCTGGTAGTTGAGGTTGATGAAATTCATGGGGAAAGTCCCCTCGATCTCGCTGACCGACTCGTCCATCCCGCTTCAGCCAACGGAGCCTCGCTAGTGGTTTCGCTCGAAGGATAGGGGATGCTCTCGCCCAAACGGTGTTGACCTGGTGAAAAGGAAAATAATAATTATGATAATAATAATACAATAGTCCTTGCATTTGATATAGCGCCTCATCAGGTCATCCAGATGTCTCAAATCGCTCAAATTGCTAACCACTGCACTAGGGGATGTATCCTTCATGAAAGATATCGGGATATACGCAAAGTCAATATCAGTGTCGAAGTGGAAAGTAATGTTGTGTTTAAATAATGATGCCACACCAAGTTCTTGTTCGTTGGCTCACTGGTATTTTGTATCGCACTTCTGGAGCTTTGCAATTAAGTTTTGCAAATGTCTCCTTTTTCTTAGGAGCTTAGGAACAGGAGTAGGCATTCAGTCCCACGAGCCTGTTCCGCCATTCTATTATATCATGGCTGATCTCTACCTCAGCTCCGATTAAATAAAACTTTGCTGTCCCCTCCCAAAAAGTGGCACTTTATGGCTCAGGATCCAGTTTGAGAACGTGGCAAACGAAACCCCAGCAAGTCGAAAGCTTGTTAATTGTTTGTAGTTCCGTAGAATGATTTGACCTATGCCAAGAAACGTTGGCCACCATGACGGATTGCCACCAGACACAGGGACTAACCCCACTAGGCTCCGTTGCCCTATTCCAAACAGACACACGGCTAAGACAGGGGCAAATGCCTCGACATGATACTTCAGTGCCTTCTATCTGGAGTGAAAGGCAAGCAGACGAATTGAAAGCCACCACAGCGTCGCATCCTCCTCAACCCCTCTACTCACTGAATTGCCAGGAATCGCGCCTTTCCTGACAGATTCACAGATAGCAACCTCCGCGTTGCTGCAACATTCCTGCAATTGTTGCTTGGCGACCTGCGTCCTCCTCTGCTCTTGTTTGCATCCTCGGTTCATATTCGAGGTGTGATGTTATAATGTTTGAGTTACGGGTGGTGAAATTTTCTAGTTTTTTTGGTCAGCCGGGCGTCTGACGCATACAGAAACCCATCACCAAACCAAGCTGAGAATTCCATGAGTTTGTGGGATACCTACCGTGCGCAATTGGCTGCGCCAATTTTTTTTTTTATCGGTTGTGAAACTACCAGCCGTGGTTTCAGCGCAGCGCAATTCATTTCCTTACGGTTGCAGAGTAACAATTTTTTTTTTTTTTTCGAAATGTTCTCTGCCGTGACATTCTCTTTAAACAAAACCCCGAGCCCATTCTGGGTTCACTTCAACTTTTGAACAGCTGAGATATCTTTCAGCCATCAGCTGTTCGTGAATGACATTTTTCACAAAAATCATCAGAGGCGAGGCAGGTTTGGCAACATATTTTTAGGGTGAGGGGCAACATCATCCCAAGTGGCATCCTGTGAATTTCTTCCCCTCAGAGCCAAACCGATCTGGTGGATGAGGGTAGGCGGCCCTATTAACCTTTCGACGCTTGTGCACATTTGAGCCTAGTTTGCAGTATTTCGCAACGAGGANTTTTTTTTTAACAAGGGAACGCAAATCAGCAAAATGCAGGCTCCAACATCCGTGCAACCGACATACCTCGCATTGACCTGTGGGGATCTTCGCTCCCGTGTAATCTACTTGTCGTGGTCACGTTTCTAACTCTCCTGGTCTCAAAATGTATCATAGCCACAGTTCTTTTAACCGGCGCTTGTTTTAATCTCGTCCTTCGAGGCTCTCTTAGTCGTTAAAGATCCCGCAGCGCTGTTCGAAAAAGAGAAGGGAGAGACAATCCATCTCTCCTGCCTTTCCCCCGGAGATCATGGAATCATAGAATTATACCGCACAGAAGGAGGCCATTCGGCCCATCGTGTCTGTGCTGGTTCTTTGAAAAGAGCTATCCGAATCAATTTTATTCCCCCGCGCTCTCCCCATAGCCCTGCAAACTTTTTCTCCCCAAATAATTATCTGCTTCTCTCTCAAAAGTCGTTATCGAATCGGCTTCCACCAGCCTTTCAGGCAACGCATTCCAGATCCGAACAACTCGCTGTGTGAAAAAATTAGTCTTCTTGCTTCATAGCTTTTTGTGGGACGTTGCTGCGTGCAAATTGGCTGCCGCGTTCGCCCACAAACCTACAGTTATTTCACATAAATTACCTGTGAAACACATTTGGACATTTCGACAATATTGGCCCTTTTTTATTATATACCTATTCTGTCGGTTCCGTGTTTTATTTGTTTTTCTTGATTGTATTCAGAAGCTTAAACGAGGTGTGTGAACAATTTACCAGGAGTGCTGTTGGCCAAGACACCAGGATAAATTCCCTTCTGTTTTCGAACAGTGTGAAGGTCTTTACCATCTGCCCAAACCAGCAGACTGGAACCTCAGTCTTGGTCTCGATCGAAAGCCGGAGTCAGTGCCATTAAAAATGGACACCAGAGTGCCCAGGAAACCTGTTGTACATTGGATATCTCTCAACAAGCAGCGGTGTTGAGACTGTTTTGCATCCATCTCACCCTCTTGCTGATCTCTCCAATGGAGCCATCATAAATTGAAAAGGGATTGGCAATATTTTTCAACTGGAACTCAGGTCGTTTCGATATCACTGGGGAGAAATTTCGTAGGTGTCTAGGTTTACTCGATTTATGTCGCATTTCATAAGGTTTCAGAATCTGTCGTGTTCTTAAAAAGAACAACGCACGTTTCTTTCGAGAACTACAGAAATCCGACTTCAAAGTTAAGACTGAAGTTGACAATTCGTGCAGAAACATACACACAGAGCCTCTGTAATGCTCCGTAAATAGAGTAAACCTAAACCTGTGTGAAACTTCTCACCCACGCACTCGAGGGAGGAAATCGTAAGTTCAGGATTTGTCACGTGTTTATTACTAATGTGCGTGGTCGTACATCGAAACGTCAGCTTGCGAGTCGAGCGTGGGCTTTGCAATGAGACCAACTGACGCATGATATTGTTAACTTCAAGTCCGGAAGCTGTGTTTCCATAAAGCACCTGTTGTTTATCAGCAAAGCCTCTCGGGATACTGCAACACACAACTTAATGCTTAATGATTCTTTGATCCCACTCTTCACGACAGCCAGATTCACGGCCCCATACACACAGCCCCAGCCATGTTTTTCCCCCTTCCCCTGACGTCCCCCCTCGCCCACACCCCCGCGCCCCTGCATGGGCAAACTGCATGGGCAAAGAAACGATGGCTCCGTATTTGTTGGCAAATGCGGCAGCACAATTGCGCACAGCGATGTCCCACAAACAGCCACAAAACGAGTGACCAAATTTATTTATTACCAGGACACCAGGAGAAACTCTCCTCTCTTTTCGAATGGTGCCACGGGATCTTTAACGTCCACCTGAACAGGCGGATGGGACCTCGGTTTAACGTCTCACCCGACGGACGGCACCTCCGAGAATGCAGCGCGACCCCCAGCACCGCACTGGAGCGTCAACCTAGATTATGTGAGTTCAAAGATTGATGAGATGCTTCATGTTGAACGCATTCCAAAATGCCATGAATGTCCATTGGGTGAGATATTAAACCGAGATATTAAACCTTGCCTGTTCAAGTGGAACCCACAATCTCCTGACCCAGAGGCCAGGCTGACACATATTTGTGTGTTGTAACCGCTGGAGCTACATCCCAGATCTGACTCCTGAGACCTGGTGAGAAGATAACAGTCGTCCAAAGCTATAAACCGCCTTCTGTTCAGCTTCAGTCTCGTTCAGTCCAGTCCACGTCACATTGCTCTTCTCTGTGAGATCAATTGGCTCTTCTTAGGGCTTTTTCAACACTAAAGCTCTTCACATGATCCATTTGTGAAATGATGTGACTCATTGAATTTGTCTGTGTTTCTGGATTACATGTGTTTTAAAACCCTGGTCATGATAATTATAATTAGTATGATGATTATTATTATTATTATTATCATTAAAACCTGCATCTGATGCCGCCCCTGTCACGTCAAATGCCCTCAAGGGCTTCACAAAGTTTTCTGCGAAGTGCAGTGATTGTATTTTGTAGGCAAATATGGTGGTCAATTTGCACGCAACGATGTCTCACAAACAGCCTCGCAGGAAAGTGAACGGCCGACCTCTTTTTAATCTGGGGAAGGATTTTTGGCTCAGAAGGTGCGAGAAACCCACTTTTCAAGCTAAGGAGTTCGGAGAAAGAGCTGTAAGTGGGATTGGTTCTGAGAATTGTATGTTGCTACCGCCTAGTTCAATTACTTTCTCCTTATTTGTTGTATTTTTTTTAAGGTCAGCAACCTCCAAAACCACAGGGGAAAAAAATAGGGTTACAATCATCCAAGTCAAAGTCTCCCAAGCAGTTAAAATAAATGCCCTTTTCTGTCTCTCTCAGCCTTTTGAAAGTGGGTGGATTGGAAACCACTTCTTACTGACATTCTATTTTATTTATGTATAGGCTACACGCCTCCAGCTCCCATCACTGCCTTTCCAGTTCCTGTTTCAGTCGTGACAGTGGCTCAAGCGGAGGGTACAACAACCAACCCCTCCTACCGGCCCGCAAATTGGCGGGCGGTGGGGTCACTGACGCAGGGTAACGAACGGCAAGTTTCCTTGCTCTACACACCTCTGTTTACCCAGCAGTGAGTAGAAACCCGGTTGTTAATCGATTGGTGGATTGCTTTCCGGGGGTAATAATCCCTCCGTCCCCAAATAATAATAACTTGGTCAATTAATCCACAACTGCTTGTGGGACACTGCTGTGCACAATTGTCTGCTGCATTGTGCGCACAAAATATACAGTCAATCCAATTTACAGTATATCTGTGAAGCCCTTTGAGACGTATCAACAACATGATAAGGCGCTACCTCAAATGCAAGGATTATTATTGTTATAACTTCAGGACAGACACGAGGATTTTTTCTTTCTCTACGCAGTGGCTAACTAACAGAAGTGGAACCAGGGAAGTTGGTTGAGAGCCCCTTTACGAAACAGTTAATGGAGGGTAAGATGAAAATCAAGTAAACCAAGAGAGCTTCTTTATCAGAATCTCTCTTGTTATCTTGGATCTGATCTACTCAGGTCTGTTCCTAGAATTGC